CCGCCGCCAAGCCGTCCAGCACGCCGCCCTCGCTCTGCTCCAGCCCCGCCAAGCCCCTCTCGCCCGGCGCGCAGCCCCAGCAGGTCCCGGTGAAGCCGCCTCGCTCCGCCATCACCGGTCCCTCCGTCGACAGCGCCGGCCCCGAGCTGGCGCAGCAGAAGCTGGAGGAGACGAGCGCGTCCCTGGCCGCCGCGCTGCAGGCCGTGGAGGAGAAGATCAAGCAGGAGGACAGTCAGGCGGCAGAGTAAGGGGGCGAGGGGCGGCCGGTGGTCCCTGGGGAGGGCGCGGGGCTGCGCTGTGCCATTGAGCTGCGTGGGGATGGGGGCTCAAGAGGCCACCGGCATCGCGGGATGGGGATGGGGATGTGCCACCATGGCGGGAGCGGGACCGTGCCGGGGGGTGATGCTGTGCTGGAGCAACGTGGGGCCCCAGTGGAGCTGTTTTGGGGAGGGTGGCACTGGGGGGGGGACGACACACCGTGCCGGAGCAGCACGGCGACCTGGGCGTGCAGGTGCGCTGGGGGGTGTCTTGGAGAGGTGACGCTGGGGGACGCTGAGCCAAAGGGTCCCGGGGCTGGGCTGGCCCCAGCCGTGCAGCGGCACTGGGGTCTGCACCGGGGAGGGGACGCGGTGCTGAGCACCGTAGGGCAGAGGGGGCCATGGCGTGGGGCAGGGGGGTCCGTGCGGTGCCACCGTCCCGTGGGCAGCGCGCTGACCCGTCCCCGCTGCTCACCCAGCTCAGCCATGGAGTCGAAGAGCACCGTGAGCATCCTGGACGACATCGGCAGCATGTTCGACGACCTGGCGGACCAGCTGGACGCCATGCTGGAATGAGGGGCGCCAGGGCCCCCCGCAAACCTCAGGGCTTACGTGGGCACAAGGGCACAACGATCCACGACCCCCCCGGCCCCACTGCCCTCCCCCTGTCCCCTTTGTACAGCCGTCCCCTCCCGGACATCCCGTCCCTCGGGGTTTGCACAAAGAAGAAGATACCTCAGGATTGTGCTCACGGACTCGGCGCCGGCTCCGGCAGGACTCCCTTTTGCAGAAGCAAAAAAACAAACAAACGAACAAAACGAAAAAAACCAACAGAAGAAACAAAGCAACACGTCCCGGACCGAAACGGCCCCCGCCAGCTGCCGGGGCTCTGGGGGTGGTCTCTCTACCTACCTGTCCGGTGGCTGCCGCCGTCGCGCCCGTGCCCTGCCGGCCCTGGCGCCGTGGGTCGCCGCGACCCGAATGTAGCACAAGCCCTGCCCGGCACGGCGGCTCCGGCGGCGGCGTGCCGCGTGTCGCCGATGGCCTTTGCCGGTGACCGTGCCGGTGGCGGGTCCGGGTGGGTAAATGCACTTGGGTTTCTTTTCTCCTTTTTTAATTTTCCTTTTAAAATTTTCTTTCTTTTTCCGTCGTCGTTCGCCGGGGGCGGGCAGGACGCGGGGTCCCGCCACGGCGTCGCACCGGGCTGGGGGCTGCCCCATGGAGGGATGCTGCCCCAAGGGGCGTGGGGGCCCGGCCGCGGGGCTTCCCTTCACGGGGACTTCGCCTCAGGCGTGGGAAGGGAGTTTTGTTTGCGTTGGTTGCAAATCGGGGAGCGAACGCCCCATTTCGGGGCCCTCGGTGGTGCGGGTGGGGGGCAGCGGGACGTGCCCCTGCCCGGCCCCTCCCCGCCGGGGGAGAGGACAGTGATAAGCTATAAAGAAGTATTAATTTATTGGAGGGGAAAAAAAAAAGAAAAAGATATAGACCAGATTTCCCCCAACCCCAAAATAATAAAAAGAATAAACTTTAACAAATATATATTTAAAAGATTTAAAAATATTAGCAATTATATATAAAGCAGTTTAAAAGAAATCAAGAGAAAACTGGATTTTAGCTTGAGAAAAACTATTAGATTATACTAAGCTGTGTGTCTTGTGGCAAACTCATTCTAAGAGTAGCACAATATTTACCTTTTCTCTGGGTGGAAGGTACGTGCAAGCAGTTCTGTTCGGGTCTTTCCGTTGGGATTCAGTGTCACGTCTTTATTTTTACACCGTTAAGAACTCAAAGGATGTGCCTTGTTTTATGGAGGTTTTTGTTAATTCTTATACTGGAGGTGTTTCATTTCTTTTGGAGTGTCTTCAGAGTTTGGTTTTGTTTATTTTTTTTTTTTTTGGCATTTGTTCGGTGTGCGTGTGAGTGTGCGTGTGTGTGCACGCGGGGGTGCGTGTGCTCGCGTGCGTTCTCCAGGACGCACCACTGTATATTCATGTATAAACTGGAGTTGGAGTCTGGTTCAGTCGCTTGAGTCCTGATGAATGCATTTTTTGCTTGTGGTTTCAAAACAAAGTGTTGCTGTTCTTTTCTTTTCTTGAGACGTAGAGAGTGGTCTCTCTCCCTCTGCCTTCCTCTGCCTCCTTCCCTGTCCCCCGTTTTCTCTCTCTCCCCCCGTCTCTCCTGTTGTGGTCGCTGATCCAGATGTGTTTGGCACAACTTTGAAATTTCTTTTAAAAAAAAAAAAAAAAGACTTTAAAAAATAACAAAAAAAAAAATCACCCGCCTGAAAATATCTGTTGAAAAGAAAAAAAAAAATATGTATCTAAAAAAAAATCCTTAAAGTTCTACATGATGGATATATACATATATATATTTTTTATGATTAAGTTATGGACTCTGTATCGTATCCCATCTGTCAAGCTATGCATCTTGGTGCTTCTCCCTGCTCTTCTGTGCTTAGATTTCACCTCTACTCGTCTTATTCTTCCTATTCTGAATAGTAGATGGCTCGTGGTGCTGTGAAGAAGTTTGCTCCTATACGAAGTCTGGCAACAAATATTTAAAGAAAAATAAAAAAATAAAACCCCTGCCGCGCTGACACCACTGTTTGTATCCAAAAACCATCACGGCTCCTGCCATGCAGCCGGGGCTGATGGGCAGCCGCGGGGTCCCAGGCCATGTCGGCAGAGCAGGCGTGCGGGTGCCGGATGCTGCGGTGCACGCGGGTCCTTGCGGCGCGGTCGTGTCTTGCCGGGTGTATGTGCTGCATGGTCCGAGGCCACCCTTGGGTGCCTCTGCCTTGGCCGGGCTGGGTGCTGGTGCTGGGGGTGCTGCGGGGTGTGTGGCAGCCTGGCTGGCTTTCCCCCCACAAGGCGCCCAGTCCCTGCACCCCATTTTTCACAGCGGGTGCCGTAGCCGTGCCCACCTCTCCGGGGCAGCCAAGTGCGGCTCTTGGCAGCAGCCGTGGGGTGGACAGGTGCAGGAGCTGCTGCTGGACTGGTGCTGGCCACTGGCTCCCACCAGGAGCCTGCAATAACTCACGCTGGCCAGGAACAACTCTTTCTGCTTTTATTGTCAATGAAGAAATAATCAAATCTATATTACAATCTTAAAAACAGTAGAAAATGTGAGTAAAAATGCAACGGAGGCTTTTTCTCTTTAATGTGGAGACCATTATTACAGGGTGGTGAACAATGGGCTTGTGTTATTTGATTTGAGAACTAGCTGTGGCATAAAAATCGTACCTGGCTACTCAAGAAAACACCTCTTCCCAGACGGATCAGCCTGACATCTTGGCAGTAAAATTAAATACTAGAGACAGAAAGGGGTCGGGGTCCCAAACCAGGGCAAGGCCTAATGCTCAGTTCTACCATTTACAAGGGGACCAGCCTCCCAGCATCACCTCCCCGGCCAGGCCGGCTCCCGCCTGTCACAAGCTGAACCATTCAGTCCCATCGCTGGCCGAGGGCTGCACTGCATCTGCACCGCTGCTCTGTGGAGCTGCCCTGGCCCCAGAAGATGCTCCCTGGCTGGGGGGATGCAGGCAGAGGAGGGCACCCCGCGGTGCGGAAGGTGCTGGCAACAGAATGGCTTCCTCTGCATTTCCAATCATATATGGCAGATCTGAGGGAACGTCTGGAGCATCCGTGGGCCAGACCCCATCCTGAGAGCTGCCAGCCGGGCTCCTCGTGGGGGGGAACCGGCCGATGGGCAGCAGCAGGCAGTGGTCGGTGCGGAGAGGAGCTGCAGCAGTTACTTCATAGTGGTGTTAGTCACCCAGCAGGCCGACGGAGGGGAGGAGTTTTTGGTCTTTCAGTGTGCAGGACTAGTGTGGCACTCTCGCTAGCACGTCCAGACCTGTGGAGGAGAAACAGGAGCCCATGGCAGTGACTGTTGTGAGAGGCTTTGTGGGCTTCTCTTCATCCTCTTGTGGAGCTTCCCTTTGGGCTTCCAGCATCCACAACACCCTATGTCAGGAGTTAAACCTCCCACCTGTTGAGAACCATCCCCTTGTTTGAAGACCACTCCTAACTTATTTAATGCCCTAGTTCCAGTACTGGAAGAGGCCAAACCATCAAGGAGAAGCCTGAGGAAACCAACCTTTACAGTGCTGTCCACGGCGCCAGAGAAGAGGCGGCCCCTGGAGACTGCGAGGGCAGTGACGCTACCCTGGTGTCGCAGCAGCGTCTGAGTACAGATCATGTTGTCCATGCTCCACACCTACGGGCACACAGGAAGCGTGAGCCAAGCGAGCGGCACGGGACTCTGGCACATCCCAGGCCCCAGGAGGGAAGGGGGACACTGTGTGCCACAGGGTTCGAGCCAGGTGACACAAATTAAATATGAGGCCACGTGGCATGCAGGGATGAGGATCCCCCATCCTCCCTTTCCCTCAACGCTGTCCATATTTTAACAAATGCACAGATGCAGCTGCACAGCCCTGGACACGTACCCTGAGAGACCGGTCATACGATGCACTGAAGACTTTGGTTTGATCCGGCGTGGAGATGACAGCAAGGGCATAGACTGTACCCACATGGCCGGTCAGCGTGCGGACTTGTTCCTTTGTCTCTATATCCCAGACCTGCGGGAAGAGAGCACGGCTTGGAGATTGCACTGGGCTGCAGGCCACTGACTTCTCTTCCGAGAGGTGTTTCCACCTCCACGCACACCTCTAGAGTGGGTGCTCTGCACCCATGCTTCGGGTGTGCTATGAAGGGGACAGGCAGAGCCAGGCGCCCGTCTCCTTGCCCCTCTCCCCCAGACTCAAGCCAACAAACGCATCAAGCCCTGCAGCCCTTACATGGATGAGGTTCTCGTAGGTGCCACACACAATGTGGTGGTTTGTCACAGCGATGGAGTAGACGCTGCCTCCTGATGTCTGCAGCACGTGGACGCACTCCAAGTTGCGGATGTCCCAGATCTGAAAGAGACGCCAGAGCAAAGGCAGGATGAGACCCATGCAGGGACCCCTCTCCAGGAGAGAGCTCCCTTGAAGCTATTCTCCAGCCACGCACAGAGTCAGCCTGGCTCCACGTGTGCCTAGATCACATCTTTAAGGACAAATCTGTCCGGCTGGGAATGTTCAGTACTGATGAGCAAAGTCCTGCTATCTTATTTAGCTGCCCAGCTTTGAACATCCAGGCTGAAAAAGTTGTGGAGATTGCACACTCTTTGTGTGTGACTATGCACACACGTGCACAGACAACCCAGTCCTTGATAGCACTAAACACTGATGCAGACAAATTAACAGGGATTTATTAACACTGAGGAGGGCAACTTCAAACTCTCTTGTGTCACCCAGATGCTGAGAGGTGAACTATTCATCAAAGCCTGAGCCAATGCAGATTGAGGGCATTTCGGAAACCACACACAGATTTATGGTAACTCTGCAGCCAGACAGTGACCTTCTCCTCTTATCAGCAGGACTGTCAGTGCAGATAACGCTGCGGCAGCTGTGGAGGCAGCGTGAGGCGCCATGGCTGCAAGGCCGCGTTTTGCCTTAGCGAGCATCCCCCAGCAGCTGCGCTCCCAAGGACCAGCCAGACCCCAGCCTTTGTGCCTGCAAAGATGCAATC